CCTTTGAGTAATAAATACCATTTTTTACCCTTATAAACAATTCAGTAGGCTTCACTTCGGTACATGGGTGTTTCACATAGGCGCCCAGAGTAATTCAAATTTGGCGCCACGCTTGGAGCTCATTCAGTTTGGCTACTCTTTGTAGGTATTTAAGAATTAAAGATGATACATTTCACACTTCCCGAGTACAAAAAAAAACACTAATTCTCTCACAAGCAACAAAAAATTAATTTTATATGACGTTCTTTAAAATGGACATCCAACTACTTCTAAGTGTGACCGGTTGGTTGCACCACCTCCTGGACGGACGGCGGCGAAAAGTCTGCTCATTGTAGGCACTTTTCCGGAATCCAATTTTTTCCACATAAGTCGCGACGAGATCCTATTGTTTGATCGTATTGTTATTACTCTCATTATCAAACAAAAAAGATTCAATATTACAATTTTGTGTTAAGTAGTACGCTAAATTTTCGTATTACATTATCAATCCTACTAGCAATTATAATACTTGGTATCCAAATCAAATATGTATGTCAAATTTGTTTTATATTGTAATACACCAACAGAAAACATTTTCAAATCAAGGCAATATTACTTGAGCTGTATGTCACACTCCATCATGTTTCCGCCAATTGCTATTTCAATTTAGGCGCTACAGTTCGAAATGCGCATTTTAATTGGCGGTCTCCACTCCTTGAATGTGTCTCATCCCCACCCAACATAGCTTGCAGTATTTGCACTCAAGTTTGTCGCGCCCGGTTCCCGAGGTCAGTCGAAATGCAAAGTGCTGTGCAAGCCTGTGCTAATGTGTTACTTTATAATAAAATTAACTGTATGAAACATTTGGATGTGCATGTCCTTTCATGGCATATAAAAAGTGCCAACGAATTTCGGGCTCCTGTGCTATTCGAGTAGAAGAGACTCCTTCCGTACACATTTACAAACTGGCGGCTTTAAAAAAATATTTTTTAGAAAAATTGTAATAATTCAGAACTTGAATAATCATTCGGGAAAAAACACAATGTTCAATAAAACAGTCCCAAAAATTTTGTATTTTTATACAGAGTGGAGGAAATTCCAACTCTCAAGTTAATCAGCATTTGCTACGATTTAATGGTCTTCACGCTCCGGCCACTGCGTGAAGGAAAACCCTCAACAAAGAATAATCTCGAAGTACTAAACGAAAATGGACTACAGTATTTCACCATTTAGTTCGCGGCATTCAACATTTGCCACTTACTACTCGTATCCAAAGACGATGGTTCCGACCTCAGAAGTTCTAAAACTTACATGTTGTGGACATCGTATGACTATACTGTTTATTCTTTGCCTTTCCATAATTATTATATTTTTTCAGAAAGTTTAAAATATTCACTAAGCAAATCACCTTATGAACCTTCAATAATAAATAAGAATGAAATCATAAAAACGTTTTTATTCACAATGTCGTAAGAAACAAGTTTAAAATACTGTCCCTACTTGACAACTACACAAGTAGATCAAATATTTCTATGTAAGGAATAATTTTACTGGAATACAATCCAAGAGTAATACCTTTTTCCGACATCGTGGTTGACTCTTCTGAAGAAAGATTACATACCGGCTTATCTTAACTATGTATAAATCTCGATAAAGTTTCGATTAATCCCTCTGAGACTACTCTCAAGCGTGATCAAGCCTCTTCGGGCCGCTTTAAACGCATGACGCGCACGCTGCGCTCGACAGAATGGGACAAGGGGTCAAATGGGACAATGGGACGAAATAGGGCGATGGGGACGAAGTTGGGCAAGGGGACATTTGGGACAAGAAACAAAATAGTACAATGGGGCAATGGGCAAATCTGACAATGGGACGAATGAGACAAGGGGACAAATAGATCAAGGGGACAAAATGGGGTCGCAGGGACAAAATGACACAGGATGGACGTCAGAAAAAAATATTTATGAGCACTGGTAAAATCTAAACCCGAAAGTCCGCTACAATTATTAACGTCATTAGGCCGATAATCACCATATAACAGACGTGGTGGAAGATTGTAAACCGAGGCGATAGCCTATTTAGAGGCGATAACGTTTATAACTATCCATGTCTGTTATTTGTGATATCGACCGTGTGTCGTTCAATACTTTTCGTAATACCATCTTCTTATAAGAAAAAATATATAAAAAAGACACATCTTGTTTTTAATACGTAGGAGTGCACAGTCATTTTCCATTTCAAATCGATCGGTACTTGAGACGCGACAGTTACCGGAAGGCCAAGAGTTTATTGTAAGAACATATTAGAAAATGTTTACCGGAAGCAAATGGATACTTGAAAAAGGTACTGTATTATTATTTTTTTTTGTTGTTGTATTTTTTGGGTATGTCGAAAAGACAAACTTCAATTGTTAACTATTGATGATATAGAAACCGAGCAACGGAGTGCTAGTTACATCGCACAAAAAATAGAATGTTAATAATACCCAAAGATGGTCTCCCGTACGATGCATATGATTTGTACAAAACATATGCTGACCTACGCCCATCTAACTTAGAATTGAGACGCCTTTTCACATATTATAGAAATGCAAAATGCACTAATCACGTTGTGAGCGTACCTTAAATATGAGACAGTCAGAAGAGAGGTTTCGGATCTTTCTTGGGGGAGGGGGGTAAATGGTCCCGCTGCATGAGATGGAAAAATGTTCCCCTAAACCAGATGTCATGTGAGTAGTTACATTATAATGCTAAAATAAATACAATATTTTTGAGAGATTTCTTAGCCCCCAACCAACCATCCAGATCCCTCTAGTCAGAAACGTGTTTTTTCGCCAACTTAACACTATTTTATCTGATTGAAAAAAATTGAAAAGAATAGATACAGAATCAGAAAATGTTTTTTAAATATTTTCCCAGCACCAAATTCAAACCCAAAGTTTTGTTTGAAAAAGTAACAAAAAATTGTCTTAGAATTCTAGAACAGGTTTGAAAAAATCTCAAAAGTTATTTTTTAGACACAAAACGTGAATTTTTTCATTTTTTTCGATTGTTGAGCTGTAGTAAAAAATAAAAATATGTTTATCATTTTAAATCACATACACTTTGAATATTTCTGCAACAGTTCTGTGCATTAATTTGAGTGTTTATTATACATTTGTAATAAAAATTGTTGTTGTCCAAAAAAACAAACTTTTTTAATAATGGTCTTGACATTATCATTAAAACAACAGATTCGCTTTTATAATAACAGAAAAGTTAAATTACTCTAATAACATTGAATATAACAGAAAATATTCAGTGAAGATAACAAGTTCGCTTTTTTTCAATGTGCCCTTGACATTAAATAAATAGCAAGCACTGGTAACAATATATCTTACATTGTAATGAAAAAAATACCAACAACATAAATGACGTTGAGTTTTAATCATCAATAATTATTCAATTTATACTTTCTTGCTAAGGAGTAGAGAGAAAGTTATGTAATGCTGCGCGAAAAAATGGTGAATTTTCGGGAGAAAAACGCCTATTACAGGCCCCTGGTCACGAAAAAGTGGATAAATCCAGTTGCTAAATTTAGAAAAGAAATCCTCTATAGTGTGGTGATGCCACAATCCATCCCGAAAAATCGAATGACGGCAAAACACCTGTCTGTCCGTCAGTGAACAACCCTAGCGGCTAAACCGTTTAGTCAATTTTCTCCAAAATTGATATTCCCCAATCGATCTGGCTGATGTCGGGGCGCCTTGAATCCGATATTTTTATTTTGTGAGGTACTTTACAAGGGACATTTCCAAAAACGGCTATATCGTATTTGATTAAATTTTATTCTTGGATATTGTGGTGGACGTTTAAGAGAATGGTGTAGGTTTCGTGATGGTTTAAAACCCATAGTTTTCTGAAATTTGAAAGTTCAAATCTTTCTACAACTAGAATATCACAGATAAAGATTTGTTCTTTAATGAAAGCTGTTCCTTAAAGGTATATTGTAAAATAATGACATGTACAAATTTTGAGTTGTTTTCGCGTAATTTTGGGTTAAAATATGGGCGAAAATGTACGTGTTGTTTGAGCTCAACTAGTTCGATATGACTTTTTCTGACTAAATCATGAGTTTCTCTGTCGAAAAATTGCCTATTTTCCCTTCAGTTTTGAAATATTTTTTTCTTTATTAGGTAAGTACCTAATGTAGTCCACTTATACGTAGTCACCTAAAACAAATTGTCCTGTAATGAATCTGAAGTTTGCTAAAAATTTCCATTGGAATTTGAGTTATAACTAAATAAAGTTTATAGCAAAATACTAATATTTTCGGAAAAAATTTACTCGGCCTCATTTTAAGAGTTATCTTGAACAACTGTTTCATGGAAAAAATATCTACTTTGAATATTGTAATAGAAAGATGATGCAGAAAAAAATTATATTTTGTAAATTTCGAAAAATCAGGGATTTTAACGAAAATGAGACCTACGCCGTCTTTACAAGCATTGTTTATCATTCGAGTACGAAGTTTAATAAAAAATTAACCATTTTTGAGAAAATGTTTAAAATGTTGGGGCTTAATGAAAAGTATTTTGAAATATTGTGAAAATTATCGTATGTTTATTTTTATTCATTTAGATTTTTTATATTAAGTATATCTCTATATTTTAGACAGACTATTTTTTAGACAATCTATTTTAAAAAATAGAGGTGCACTTCATGTGAAGGGCCCTACAAAATGAAAATATCCGTTTCAAACTAGCACGGTTTCGTGTTACTTCATAGCGATCAAGAGAATTCATTCATCTTGGAGAAAATTATATTATATATATTGTTTATATATTACTTATATATTTTTGTATAGTATTTGCATCATCGATAATTATGATAATCCGCTCATATATATAATATATAAAACACACACACACACACACACACATATATATCTATAAGCAAGCAGGAGATAAAATTCATGGCCGGGTATGCGAATGGCGATTTTCAAGGAGTGGCCATTGGCTTCATTGCGCTGTCGGAGTTGGATGCCAATGAGGACAGTGAGGGAAGTTCCAACTTCAATTGCAAAGTCCTTGGGTGCATCCGCTGCGCTCTTCGCTGTCAAATGGTGTCTGTCGAGCGCAGCGTGCGCATCGTGTGTTTAAAGCGGCCCGAAGAGGCTTGATCACGCTTGAGAGTAGTCTCAGAGGGATTAATCGAAACTTTATCGAGATTTATATGTAGTTAAGATAAGAGGGTATGTAATCTTTCTTCAGAAGAGTCAACCACGATGTCGGAAAAAGGTATTACTCTTGGAATGTATTCCAGTAAAATTATTCCTTACATAAAAAAAATTTACCTACTTGTGTAGTTGTCAAGTAGTGACAGTATTTTAAACTTGTTTTTTTACGACATTGTGAATAAAAACGTTTTTATGATTTCATTCTTATTTATTATTGAGTGTTCTTATAGGGATTTGCTCTGTGAATATTTGATGTACAAGTAAAATAAACAATTTTCTAATTTTAGTTACAGAACATCATCGTGTGCATTTCGGAGAAGGAGCAGACACTTTTGGTAAAGATAATGAAATAGTTGTACAGCCAGCGGGAGATGGGAAAATATCCCTTCATTTAGGTTTTCTGAAGCTATGTCACCGCTATAAAATCACCGTGGACTTACCCCGGACTTTGTGTGGCCTGAACCGGGAAGACGCTATTAAGGAACACGAAGAAGATAAAATTCCCAATGTTAATTGCAAAATAAAACAAATTTCATCAGGCGAAAATGCAGTTAGTTTGGTAGTAGAATTAGTTGCTCATAAGGAAAAGCTGCTGAAGGAGGAAGTCTCAATTGAAGTTGGCAGTGAAAATACTGTTCATCGAATTGTTCTTATAGCACGAGTTTTGGGTAAGTAAAATTAATAGATATTGGGAATAATTTGTGTTGCAAATCTAGTTCTGGATTTGAAAGAACTTTTCTGAATTGTGTTCTTCATATTTTGTGATATTCCAGTTTCTTTAATTGCATCTTTAAGTGAGAAAAATTGCTGAATTATATCTTGTGTAGATTGACATTTTTTCTAACTGAAAGTAGAAATCTTTTGTAATAATTTTGCTTTGATGTTAAAGTTGCTAGGAGAATAAATTCTTGTGAAATTTGAGAAATTTAAAGATACTTCGATTATAAATCTAATTCCCATTTTTATTTTGTGTGTTTTAGAAAAACATTTATCTTAACGTTGATATACTCGGATGATATTCATATTTCTTAAGAATACTGATTAATTATTTTAAAGAGTTAAGTTGCACTTATGAGATTGTTGTGTCATTTGCTGACTAAAATTTCTTTGGTAAAATAAACCAAATCAAAAATCAATTTTTACATTTTCACTCATACCGAATACATTGAATTAAGATACTTTAAATTCATCATGAATTATTTTCCATTGATGTTTCATTGTTATTTTCAATTTACTTTCAAATTATCTGAATTGGTTATTATCAAATTGGTCAAATTATCTGTTAAGATGAACAATTTCATACTTATTTTCAAATACAAGTTTTTTCGACAAGTTCTATTGCATTGGTTTGGTGAAAAACATGAAAGTTTGTGCTTTTAAAGTAAGTAAATTCTCAAAAATGTAGTCATTTTCATTTCAATTTGTCAGTTAATTGATTGATTTCAATTTTAACAATACTGCGTTTTTCAGGGAAAGGTCAAGGAACCCCACTGCTAAGAAATGGAATCCATTGCATTGGGAATGAGGAGGTTGATGATGAGTCTGAGGCTTCAGATTGGCAAGGCTTTGATAACAAGCCATAATTAATTTAAAAGGTAAAATTGTACCAATTATGTATTAGTGGTTGGTCCAGGAATCAGTGTGTGATAAATTGTAGATGGAAATGTGTATATATAATGTAGATAGCTTTCTCTACATTATACACATTGCAGCTTTAGAATAATTAGAATATATGTGAATTTTGGCAAAATTGAAGTTTTGATTTGTTCCAACTCTGTTCTGTGTTAGATCTGTAACATTTTAAAACAGTTGAAATCATGTGTGTAAAAAGCCTTTGATCAAAATGAAGTACCATTTTGTATATCATAAGTAGACCCTTCAAAATTTTCAAGGGTTCTCTATCAAACTTTCTCAAAGTTGCATAGAACCTTGTTATTGTGAGGCCATGATTTGGACTATATGCATAAATTGTTCGTGGAGATCACTTTCAAATAATAGGTTAAATATTCTTCCTTTCTATTGATAATAAGTTGTTTATCCTTCCTTCAAATAAACTAGAAAAAAATTGAGAATACAACTTTGACAGCTGGTAAGGCAGGTCCAGTCATATCTTAAATTATATTTTGTGTCATACCTAAACTATATAAATGAAATTGGCGGGTGTGTTTGTGAATTGAAAATAGCTGCTTTTTTCTTATCTCATGCTTACTTCAATGTAATAACCAAATCCAAATGATTGTACAATTTTTGAGTCTGAGCGGGGTAATTTCTGGAAAGGCTTAACTGATTGTAATGTAGTTTTCACTGGAAGGCACGGGTTAGCAGGACATAACTTAGGCAATTTTTTTCTTCAACTTATTATTTTCTGTGATATAAAAAAGGTTTCTTTAGTTGTTTTTCATTCATACCTACAGTTTTATTCCAGTCTTCATGAAATTTATACATGTGAGCAGCAAAAGAAGAGAAACGTTCTTGTTTGCATAAGATTCTTAAATATTATATCGTCCTCTTTAGCCTGTAGCAATGATGTTGGTAGCAGTGATAATTGTAGGAAGTATGTAGGGCCAAGGCAAGGGTAGGGAGAAAGGGGAAGGAGCATGGAAGCTTTGGACAGTGCAGTGTGGGGGATGACAGGCGAGGGATTCACTAAAATAGAACTAGAAGGAATTTGTTTCCTATTCTGGGTAAAAGGCAAAAATGATAAATGAATACCTGGGGAATGACCTGAAAAGATAAATGAATACCTCAGCAAGTGTACCAGCTTAGGTGGATCAGGGCATCAATTGATGTCACTTTAGTGCCTGTGACTGGGAGGTCCAAGGGTTATAGTTCCAACAGTGGCCCAAGGGTTATAGTTCCTACATAGAATTGAATTGAATTGAATTTGCCTTATTTTACGTGGCGAGACTCGGGCCATCAGGCCCGCTCTTCCGTCTGACCACGCAAATTTCGCTACGCTCTTTTCACCAACTAGGAGAGAAAGGAGGTATTTCTTGGGCGAGAAACAGGCGATTTGAATTTAGCTCAGAGGCGTCATTTAGGCATAGCTAGGTCAAACTCAGCTGCTGTCCAGAGGAGAATTCTGGCAGCCGGCTGCTGGGATTAGGTTGCTGTAGGTTTCTCTGATCAATACCAGGCGAATACCATAGCAGTACGTAGTGTATCAAACGGGTCACAGACTACATACGATCTTTCCTTCCTCTTCTTGTCCTCTCCTTACCCTTACCTACCCACACTTACACTACACTATTAGGCATTACAGGCACTACACTATTACAGATGTTAAGAACTTATAGCTTGTTCTAGCCTCACTGGTGGGGGATACCTAGTTGGGAAAACCACCACAAGCTGACAGCACTGGATCTCACTGTCCAGCAAGGGAAGATCACTGCTACCTTCCGTGATTAAATCGTGCATTACCTTACAAGAAAAATGACCATAGCAGCTGATGCGCCAAAAAGCAGAAAATTAAAAAAAATGTCAATCCTTTCTGCTACTGCAATATTTAATTTTTTTTCTTAATGTAGTTAGTTCTTCATAACCAACCTTAAGATATTTTTGCCTCTTTTAGGAATGCTTACAGGCAATGATCTAATTATGATAATGTTGTCATTTGATTCTTGTGAAAATTAATTACTTGTGTGGGAACTAATAACAGTTACTTAAACAAGATCCAACTTATGTGTTTCAGGTTATGCTCTGATGGGTAGTAGGTTGAGGTGATCTGATTGTGAGAAGCCTATGTGTTCTCATTTCCCAATGTGCCATGTTGTTGGTACTTGTACGAAAGCTAGGATCTCCTACTTCTGCTCATTGGAAAGTAAAGGATAGTTCGAGCCATATTGTACCTTTTATATGTGCCTGCCAGGATGACCAGGGTGAGCGATTTTGAAATCTTTTAGCGCAGCTTCACTCGTGGAAGGTATGACTCCTTTTACCTTAATGTTAAACCCTGAAATTCATTGTAAAATCAAGAGTGCTATGAGAAATGATTGTACACTTTTTGTGATATAAACATCAGGTGTAGTTTTTCTCTATATAAAATTATATAGGTAATTTGTCTTTGCAACTGATATGAAAAATTATAGTAATTTTTCAATAGAGATTTATTAAAAATGACATCAGTATTATTTTTGTCCTGTTATGATGTGCCTCTTGTGAAAAGTCAATACTAATGAAGGAATTGTTAACATGTATTTTTTAAATTGATCTGAATTTTTTATGTTTGGTACATTTAAACTAATATTATTACATAATATAATATTACTTTTGGCTTTATAAAATTGAATCCTCATTGTTAATAATTCAAATGCATGTAGTTAATGAATAGAAATTTCTTCCGGTTCTTTGCTTCAGAATTATTAATAACTTCTGAAATTCATACATTTAAATTAAAAGTTAAGTCACGAGTCCCATGGAATGATTTGGTTTTTTGAGAGATTGATATTTTACCTTGCACTCTTAAAATTCTGATTGATTTGCGTGGTATGAGATTTTATTGTATTAGTGAAGCTTTTAATTTTTAATGACAAAAGTGGCATTAGAACATTTATTTTATATTTTGTGTTCCAAGCATTCTTCGCAATTTGTGTTTATTTAAAATATTTGTAGTGATCTTTTTTCTAAGGTTTATGCATAAATTGTTTTAAGGATGCTTATTTACTGTATTATTTTTGTTTTAATTTTTTTGTGCCTACTTTTGTGGTGATGGAGACGGTGTCTGTGATTTAGAGATATTGTGCTACAATCGAGTCATGTATAACCAAGTCATCTTTACATCAGTGCCTCTCTATTAACCATTAACTTTTCGACATTCCTATGGCAGTTCACTATTTTTGTGCATTTGTATGAATTAAGCCATTATTGGTGCCATACTACCTCTATAAGACTCTTCAGGTATTGTAATGTAAATTTGACACTTCTGTCACTTTCTCAAATGACCAAAGGTTTACTCGTTGTCTGAAGGAATGAAATGAAATAATAATTATATCCACAATAGCTGTTGCTCTTATTGAATGGAAAGTGTGTACATTTTTTTGAGAATTTTATTAGACCTGCATTGAATTAATTTACAAGGTAGGTAATCTAATTCACGACAAAAGGATAATAAATTGTTGGTCTTTTTAAGATGCTTCACATGCTCGTGCATGACAATGCTGATTTTACAGATATTTAACATGTATGTATGTATTTATATATTTTCATGTCTATGTAGATAAATGTGCTTTGATAATGTCTTTGCACTTCTAATGAATGGTTATACACCATTAATACGCCTATCAGTACTCTTCCAGTAATGATTTAAAAGACAGTGGTTGTAATTGGCCTTTGGTCATTTGAATACAATTGTATTAACAATTCTTATTGTATGTGATGCTGAGCATAAGCTCTTATTTGCTCAAATAAAGTTAATGTTTTGCCAAAGATTTTTTGTTTGTTTTTTTTCCTTTTTTTACACTTCAATTTAAAGATCCCCTTTAAAGATATTCTACAGTACGCACGTAAAAAATAAAGAGGTAAAATTAATGGAAATTTTTGTGTATTGTGTTTCTTGTGAAACTAGTGCTGATGGAGCAAAAACATTTCATTATATTATTTAATAAACTACCTACATACATTAAGAAGTGAAGTGAAAATGAACTCAAGAACACTGAAAAATTACCTAATTGATACTTACCTGTGTAAGTTAAATGAATTAACATGGGTAGAGAGGGCAATGTTAGGATAATTATCTAATTTCTACTTTAGTATAAACAATTTTGATGATCTGAAGGAATAACTGTTGAATGTTTACAGATGTATGACATAGCTCCAAGACATGAATTATCAAGTTAATATGAGCAAATGAAATTATTATAAATTAAATGTATTGGACTACATGAAGAAAAACAATAATAAAATTATCTTTTTTCTTTCTGATGACACTTCAGCCTAGTTCAGATCTTAGCCTAGTATCTGTGCTATCGTGATATGGAGTATTTGTGCTACTCATATTATTTCTTTCATATGAGACTCAAATGTTACACGAGGCTGGGGGATTGGGTTTGAACCTAAAAATCATCAGTCATAATCATGAACTGATCAGAAATTAGGCTCAGTAGCCTGTTTCTATTGGTTTACCTAAATACTTCATTTGAAAAATTGTCAGAAGGCCTCTTCATTATTATGAAGGTCATTTTATACTTGGGTAAATACACAAAGAAATGTGCAAATTGTACTCTCCCCTCCTGTGATATGTCACTTACATTTTTTAAGGTTTTAAGAGTAAATTAACAGATAAAAAAGAGTTTGCTATATTAGTTTCAGATGTAACATTGAATTACAATGTGCAATTATTTATTTTAGCTTCAGTTATTTTGTTTTATATCAGATATTAGTAAACAGCTATTTAATCTTTAGAATTTTTACTTTATTAGTCTATTGTGCAATAGATGGGATTTCCATGCAAATGCGTTATTTTATTTAAGCTTTGTAGACATTTTTTCAATGGATACTGAAGATTTACCTTCTATCTAGCCTATAGAGTACTTTTTATAATTGTTTGCTTAACTCGTGAATGTTAAAATTGACACGTTTTATACAAAAAACATTGTATTCTTAGGTCCTGACAGTACACAGATTCCTTAGTTACTTACTGTTATACCACAAATTTTAACCCTCTGATACAAGTGCTAGTTTTGCAAAACCAATACACACTCTGGAAGAAACAGGTACAAAACCAATAAACAACAAGCCATTAAGTCATAAGGATATGAAAAATACAGGAAGAAGCTGTTCAATATCATGTGATAATTGTCAAGGGGAGGGAAGAATAATAAATAGAATTCTCAGTCCACTTGCCTACAAAGTAAATAAATAATTAAAAGTCTACTTCTGGGGAAGTCATTAAAAATTATTGAAAATATTAAAATGCCTTTGGAATTAATATTTGGAGGTGTGGGAAGAGAAATTATAGGAAGTGTTAAATTCGAATCCGGATTTGAAATTTCTTCAAAAGTTTATGGTGGAAAATCAGAATATGCAGTGTTTTACCTCACATGGGCCGGTTGCATAAATCTATCCATGTGGGTTCAATAGCTATAGGTTCGATAACATTTGTAGGTTCCATAGGCCATGCACCATTGCTTAAAGCAAATTTAGGGAATATATAACTATAGATTATATAAGAACTTCGAGATGCAACCAATATATAGTGACAGTCGATATTTGATCACTACTTGTTCCTTTCAGTATTTTGCACGTTCTTAACATGTGTTGCATTTAAAGGAAGTATTTTTGGTTGTTTCTTATTGCATCTCAGTTAAAATCCCGTTTTATTTCATTATTTTCATTTTAGTTAATTTTTTGTTTTATTCTTATAGTATTGTAAATACAATGAATTCTTTATATAAGCAATTGCCTATTTGGATTTAAGTAAATTAATTTATCTTCCAGTCTTAAATTTGAATATTAATTTTTGTTGATACAATTATTAATAAATTATAATTAATAATGAACTACTAGTCAAATCATTTTGAAATACAAAGTAATGATTAATTTGCTATCTAAACAATTGGCATTTTATTTACCAAATAATAGCTAGGCAATAATGCACTAAAATATGTCACAAGTTAAAAAACAAAGAGAGGGTAATCATTTAAATTGTTCAAATTTTATTTGTAATACTGATATTATTACTAGCACTTACAAGGAAGCGTTTTCATCGTTGGTTCATCAATACATTTTGTAATCTTCATTGGTTATCTATTTATTGGAAGGAAATTGTTTCATAACTGAAAAATATTCTTTATGATAAACCAAATTTCAGCCTTATGACTACAAATTAAATTCACTGATGAATCTATGAAGGGTTATGTGTGGGCTGAACTATTCTTTTACAAATTATTTTAGCATAATTGAAAAATTATTGTTTAGATTCATGGCACTCATTTATTCACCAGTGCATAATATAATCTGACGTCATTGTATCATGTACGAAGGTGTCAGTCCTCAAAAAGGGTGGGATGCCACATGTAAGCATTGGATGGAAGTTGATTGATATTGCTGCTTGGTGAAAAAGAATTGAAAAAGAAAGAACACAAAATATTATAGGAAAAGTTAACATATTTTCATTGCCAAATTTAATCCTTACTTCTCATCACAATACATGCAAAAATAATGTATCAATATAGAATTCACTTATGTTCAACACATACAAATTCACCTAAAACACACAATACTGTAAATAAAATTCGTAAAAGCCACCAAAACAACACAACACAACACACAGATGCCAGGTGCCACCAATAATCTCAAACAAACAGGATTTTCAAAAATTCTGGAAAGGCTTTTTTAAAGATAGACTCAAACAGTTTCTCTGTGCAGATAATGTCCTTACAAATGCACAACATGGCTTCAGGAGTAGTAGATCCACAGACACAGACATCTTCTTCTTTTCAAATGACATACTTGTTGCACTAAATCAGAAGGAAATTCCCATTGACCTTTTCTTAGATTTGTCAAAAGCCCAAAAGCCAAAAACTCAAAATTTTGTAAGCACTAGTAAAATGATTTGAAGACAACAAATTCATCATAAACACTAGCAAGACAGTCTCTCTAAATTTCATAAATCCCCGATCTAAAGAAAAACTCTCACTCTCTCATGAACAATAACTCTGTAATGATATCTCATGAAACTACCTTCCTCAGTTTAACAATTCAAGAAAACCTAAAATGGAATGCTCACATCTCAAATCTTAACAAGAAGTTCACCAAATCTTGCTATGCCCTATACACCCTCAGGTCAAGCTCCCAACATTGAGACACTTCAAACAACGTAGTTTGCAAATGTGCACTCACACCTAAAATATGGAATAATTTTCTGGGGAAATGCCCCTGAAAGCACTCGCACATTTATTATCCAAAAAAGAATACTTTGAACAATGACCAGCACTCATAAGCTGGAGTTTTGCAAACCCATGTTCAATAACTAAGGATTCTTTGTCTACCATGCATGTATATATTTGAAATAGTGGTTTTCACAAAGAAGATTCTCATGGAAAACAAAGACATTTTCACTCTAAATTCCGATGTACACAACTACAACACTCGTCAAAAGGATAACCTACTCTGAATTATATATTCATATTCCCACTCTGAATCTATACTTTATCAAAAAAGTACCCTAATAGAGGGCATTACACTTTACAACAAACTAGGCAATGATATTAAAGACATAAACACAATTTATACATTTAAAGATAAATTGAAAGCTTTCTTTGCTTAACATGTTCTACAATGAGAATATTCAAATCTCAACAATATTTCCCGTAAAAAATATAAATAAATACAAATTTCTTATCCCATATGACTTTCTGTTTCATGACTATTTTGAGCTGATGCAAAGAAAAAAGAAATGGCACATCCTGTGACATGTGTTAATACCTGTCTGTCCTGTTTCTGTATTAATATTTCAAACATTTTAAAATTGTAATATTGTAAAATTGCTGTACTAATATTGTTGAATTTTATGTAGTTGTTTACAGATTTGATATCATGTATGTACGAATTGCGTGAGACACTTGTCTTCGAGATCATAAACTCAGGTAAGAGAGTGCAAGTCTTTTTGTTCGGGTGAAGACAGTGTTTATGAATAGTGTCCTTGGAACATCAGGGGTGTGGTTTTGTCAGGAGCTGCATGGCGTCTTAACAATTGGGCCAATTCAACACTGACTCGGAAGTGCTGCGGGGTTTGGTGCAGCTTGTGCGGTCGGCTTCTAAACACAACGCTCTTAATGTGGGCAGAACGTAAGCTTCGTGTCAGGTTACACCGGATAACTTTGTGACCGTTTCGTTAAGTCCCTTCTCTTCCGCTTGTAAGGGTGAATGGTGGGAGATTCTTTCTGGTGAGTATGACGATTTCGTTTTTGCGGGTGCAACTGCAGACGTGGGCCTTCATCCAGTCACTGAAGTCGCTCATCAACTGGTTTAGCCTAGTGGGCTAAGCTCAAGAGCTATGGGCCTTGCTAATAGGCTCGCTGTGTCGTCTGCGGTACGATCAGCAGAT